CCCAATTCTCCAATAAAAAATCTTTAAAACAAAAACCCCCTGAAGGGCAGCCTACTGAATGGGAGAAGATATTTGTCAATGATATATCTGATAAGGGGTTAATATCCAAAATTTATAGAACACTCATTCAACTCAACACCAAAAAAACAAACAACCCAATTAAAAAATGGGCAGGGAATGTGAAGAGACATTTGTCTAACGAGGACCAGATGGCCAACAGACATATGAAAAAACGCTCAACCTCACTAATCATTAGAGAAATGCAAATAAAAATCGCAATGAGATACCGCCTTACTCCGGTCAGAATGGCTATCATCAATAAATCAACAAACAAATGCTGGTGAGGTTGTGGAGAAAAGGGAACCCTGGTGCACTGTTGGCAGGGTTGCAGATTGGTGCATCCACTATGGAAATTAGTATGGAGGTATCTCAAACAACTGGAAATGAAACTACGTTATGACCCAGCAATTCCACTCGTAGGTATCTATCCAGAGAAACCCAAGATGCTTATTCGAAAAAATATATGCACCCCTATATTTATTGCAGCACTATTTACAATAGCCAAGACATGGAAACAACCAAAATGCCCAGTGGTAGATGACTGGATTAAGAAACTGTGGTACATTTATTCAATGGAGTATTACTCGGCCACAAAGAAGAGTAAAATCTTACCATTTGCAATGATATGAGTCGACCTAGAGAATATTATGCTTAGTGGAATAAGTGAGTTGGAGAAAGGCAAATACCATATGATCTCACTTATATAAGAATCTAAAAAAATGAATAAATGAGCAAAATAAACAGAAATAGTCTCAGAGATATAGAGGAAAATTGATGGTTGCTAGATGGGAGGGGGTGGGGATGGGGGAGAAGGAGAAGGGATTAGACAGCATAAATAGGTAACTACAATATTGCCACAGGGACATGAAAGACAGTTTGGGGAATATAATCAATAATGTTGAAAATATTTTGTAGGGTGTCAGATGGGCACATGTCTAGTTAGGGAGACCACTTCATGGATGGTGTAGAGGCTTGATCACTGCACTGTACACCTGAAGCTGAAGCTGAATAATATTGTATGTCAAATATATATATATATATATATATATATATATATATAGTCACGGGAGATGGAGTATAATATAGGGAATATAGTCAATGGAATTGTAATTGATATATACGATGTCAGAGGGCAATAGATTGGGGGAGGGTGGTGATCACTTTGTAAGGGGTGAAATGTATAACTATTACATTGTTTTGTACACCTGAAGCTAATAAAAAAGTAAAAAGAAAAAAAAGAAAAAGAAAAAAATATTTCTCAAGACTTCTGGACTAATAAGAACATGGAATGAAATATTGTTTCCCTATATTAGGCATCAGTGAACATGGGAGACATTTCAGTAAACATTTTTTTATTGAAACCTAGCATTACCACAAAAAAATATTGATACAAACTATAAAAAAAATTTTATTGTGCCTCTGAAAATCATGGTGCAACCACACCTGGGAAACAGCATCCAGTCCTGATTGCTGTATATCAAGGAAATTGTAATACAAGTTATGAAGGACCACAGTACGGTGAGGGAGAAATTGATAGAATCAAAGTACATAAAATTACAAATGGTATGTGTATGTGGAAGATGGAAGATGGACTTGTATATCCATATAAAATATTAGGCTTGGAGAAATGCACTAACACATTAAAGAAATTATTTTAAGACCAAAAAAACCCACAACCTTTTACCTTTGTTTTCAACAGGCTCTACTACACACCGATATTATTATGCTCCCAACTCTGCTTTGCAGTCATTTGCATCTCTCTGGTTCCCTCCCCAATTTGTACAGAATAAACAACAAATACACATTGGATTAAACGAAATGGAATCAAGGTGAATTGAAGCCACATCAAATAAGTCTTTCCTCTGTAACAAATTATGGTTTTTGAGTAATTTTTCAGTCCTTACTATGTCGCCAATAATAGTTTGTTCTTGCTCCAAAGTCCCTAATTCTTTTCATGATATTGTCTTAATACACCACATCGTTATCACCTGTGTTAGTTTTTGTTCCCACAGAAGCAAATGCTGAGCCAAGGATTCATGTGCAAGCACTTTATTGGAAGGAGCAAGGAATATGGATGGGAGAAAGGAGAAGTGATACACGAAATAAAGTATATCAAATAAAGCTTGCATTATGTCAGCTACCACTGTGAATGAACTAACTTTTCATCCTGTGGGGAAATTCTGGAAAAGGTACAAAAATCTAAATCTCAGGATTATCCTAATAAAGGGTGAAAGACATGGTATACCCCACACCTCTCTATCAAGGGCTGTCTCCATTGGGATATAATTCCCTGTCATATCTGCCACCACATATTGGGCAAAGTAGGTTCCTACTGGTGCTGGACAATCATGCAGTGGAGATGGTGAGAGGATCCCAGGAAACATGAGAGGAATGCTGACAGCATGTACTATACTGCCATCCTTTCTTGTAGACTCAATTCTACCAACATTCTTCCCCAAAGGTGAATTAAGTTCTAAACACACTCCACAAATATGTAATTCCCATTCCTGATGCACCCCCAGAGAGTCCTAAGTAAAAATTAAATCATGTGAGACAGCAACTTTTATATTTTTTAATTAAAATGTATTGGGGTGACAATTGTTAGTAAAATTACATAGGTTTCAAGTGTACAATTCTGTAATACATTATTTATATTCACATTGTGTGTTCACCACCCAGAGTCAGTTCTCCTTCCCCTGCCTTATATTTGACCATGTTTACCCCGACCTACCACCCCCACCCCCACCCTCTGGTAACCACTACACTATTGTCTGTGTCTATCAGTTTTTGTTTCTTTATTTGTTTGTCTTGTTCCTTTGTTGCTTTCAGTTTTATATCCAACATATTGAAATTATATGGTTCTCAACTTTTTCTGACTGACTTATTTCACTTACAGCTGCTATGGAAGGCAGTGTGGAGGTTCCTCAAAAAATTAAGAATATAATTACCATGACCCAGCAACCCCTCTCCTGGGTATATACCCCCAAAATCTGAAGACATTTATCCATAAAGATATATGTGCTCTGATGTTCATTGCAGCTTTATTTATGGTGGTCAAGACATGGAAACAACCAAAGTGTTCTTCGATAGATGATTGAATAAAGAAGATGTGGTATATATACACAATGGAATACTACTCGGCCACATGAAAAGATGAAATACTTCCATTTGAGACAACATGGATGGATCTTGAGATTATTATGCTAAGCGAAATAAGTCACAACTCTTATTTTATTCTATTCATTATTACATGTTTTTGAATTTTAGAGGATGTATCTTAAAATTGTAATTATGCGGAATAAAGTTCAAATACAAAAGGAAATGAAGAAAGAGAGATGGAAGAAAGGATCACAAAGAATGATGCAACATCTCATATTTTCCTAAGCAGTAAATCTCTATGAATCACTAGACCTTTCAAATTTAGAATTTTACTTTGAAGTTGTAAATAATGTCACTGTTCTTATGAAAGGTAGGACAGCAAAGTCAGTGTCAGCTTGCCGGGCTGTAGTCCAACTCAGTCTCAGTCTCTTATTCTGAAAAGTGAAGTGAATGAGAAAAAATGTCTCAAGAAATGTTTTTAAAATAAAATAAGTCATTCATGTGAAGAAACATGTAGAATCCTGATATTGTAAGCACTTTGGTATGACTTCTGTATGATTTTCATTCCATTTTGTCTGGGGAAAACAAGCATACAACCAAATTTATGTGAAGAACAGCAACACATGAGGACAATTTTTTGGGGAAACCAAGTCAGCACTAGATATGATAAGTGCTTTAAGTTTAAAATTAGAAAATTTAAGAATGGGCCTTTTGAGCTCCTTTTGCTTGGCCTGCTCCAAATTCTTTGTAGTGTACTCTCTCTTTTAATAATGGCCCTTGAGCCATTCTCTACTCCTTGGGCCCACTTCTGCTTCTTTGAAATGTATTTTTTCTTCTATTAAACTGTCCTTTTCAGCAACTTAAAAAAAAAGAGAAAATTTACGAATGGCTTCAAGAATGCTGACCAAAGATAGAGCATTGTGGACAGCATATAAGGAAGAAAAGTCAAATAGGAATTTCTGTGGGAGTTCTTGAGAAGAAATTAATAAAATAAAAGTGAAATTATACATGCTTTGGAAATAGAAGTAATCAAGCATGCTTTTAGGAGAGGAAAACCCCCCAGCATATTTAAATTTGCAACTATTTCCTTTGGGGACCACAATCTCCACTTAGTTCCAGGCAAATGACCCATTATGGACAACAGGCTGCTTGGCTGAGGAGCCTTCTGAGGGCCCCCTTTACATCTTTGTTCCTCAGGCTGTAAATAAAGGGGTTCAGCATGGGAGTGACCCCAATGTACATTACTGAGGCAATCAAGCTTCCCTGGGAAGAATGGGTCACGGCAGAACTTAGATAGACACCCAGGCTTGTCCCATAGAACAAGGAGACCACACAAAGATGAGACCCACAGGTGGAAAATGCTTTATACTTGCCCTTAGTGGAAGCCATCCTCACTAGGGAGGAGACAATCTGAGAGTAAGAAAACAGGATTCCTATGAGTGGAAACACACCGAGGAGGGCAGTAGTTACATACAATACAATGTTATTGATGAGGGTGTCAGAGCAGGCCACCTTGAGAATCTGAGCCAGTCCACAGAAGAAATGTGGAATTTCAGTGCCTGTACAGAAGGTCAGTCGCATTATCAGTATAATATGAAGCAGGGAGACCCAGAATATGATGAACCAAGACAATAGAACTAGAAGGCCACACAGGCGTGGGTTCATGATGACTGTGTAGTGCAGGGGGTGACAGATGGCCACATATCGGTCATAGGCCATCACAGTCAGAAGGAAATCATCCATTCCAGCAAAAATCATAAAGAAATACACCTGAACGAGGCATCCCATGTAGGAGATGTTTTTTCTCTGTGTCTGGATGTTCACCAGCATCTTGGGGATGGTGGTAGAGGTGAAACAGATGTCAGTGAAGGACAGGTGAGAGAGGAAGAAGTACATGGGCGTGTGGAGGTGGGAGTCAGAGCTGATGACCAGGATAATGAGCAGGTTCCCCAGCACGGTGACCAGGTACATGGACAGGAACACTCCACAGAGAAGGGGCTGTAGTTCAGGATCATCTGAGAGACCCAGGAGGAGGAAATCTGATACCTCTGTGTGGTTTCTTGCTTCCATGTAGCTGGTGTGTCTTCTGAAGAAGGGGAAAAAGCAATGCTCAATGAACAGCCAAATGACACTTCAATTAGTCATCACCTTTGATTCCCCCTTTGCTCTAGTAGTCATTCTAATGCCAGTGATTCACTCATTTAAGTGGTAGCCCATTTTTTTGAAATGTATATAATTATTCAGGATTTCTTTAATTTAGAAGAAATCTCTCTTTTTTATCTCTTACTCACTGGTTCTAATTCTCCTATTTGGATCTATGGACATAAACCAATTTCTTCTTTGATATGAGTCTTCCAAAATAATTAAAGACATTTAAGGTATTTTTCTTCGATAATCTCCATACTTCTTTCATTCTATAATGGTGATTAAAACATGGGTTTTCAACTCAAAAAACCTTAGTTCTGTGACCTGATGCTTTATGTTGATGTTACAGTGAACTCTCATGTGTCTTATTGTGTTTCTTTCTAAAAATGTGGTTACTGCTATTATCTTCTTTGTGAGGGTTGAAAATGACTTTGTTTACAGTAGGGCCTCAATAAATGATAGTTACTATTATTATTATCATTATTAAGCTATTATTTTAATTACAATAATTTTTATATATAACTCTTCTTCCAAAGTTGTGATTTAGAAAACAGGATCTTGAGGCAGCCTTCCTAGAATAAATTCTGGCCTACTAAGTTACATCTGTGTGACCTTGACAAAGTTATTTAATATCTCTTAGTTGTAGATACTTCACCTCTGCAATGGGAGTAATAATTATTCCCTACACTGTAAAATGGATGAGTGATTAAATGAGATGATGTATATAATTTTTCAAGTGCAATTCCTGTGACATACAGTGGACACTTGCTAAAAGTGAACTTCTGTTCTTAACATCACAATAAATCTATCTTACATAGCCATCATTTATTAGTATTCCCCTTAAGTGGGGGCAGTGATCATTATAAACACAACAGGTCTGTTATCTCTTTTGATCATCATGCAGCACTTGTAATTAACGAATATCCCTATGGCTCCCTCCTTAAGAGACTTCCAGGTAAATTCTTCTAAGAAGAGGAAGAAGCATATGGGATACATAGATAAGAGGGGGAAACAATAGCACAGAGCCATTAAAATAAAATACAAAGCATGTGTGAGAGTGTGTCCTGATGTGCACATGCTCTCGAGTGGGGATGTGTTGTATTAAAATTAGTGGTGTGATCTGAAAAAAAAGATTGGTAGATTTGATAATAAATATTCCAAGTATTCATACATGAAACCATCCTAAAAACTGAAAGGCAAATTTAAGAGTTGAAAACAAAAAGGCAACCAAACAAATGGAAAAAGATATTTGCAAAAAATACCTCAGATAAAGGTCTAATATCCAAAATACATAAAGAAATCATACAATTCAACAACAGAAAACCAAACAACTCAATTAAAAATTGGGAAGAGGACCTGAACAGACATTTTTCCTAAGAAGACATACAGATGGCCAACAGATATATGAAAAGATGCTCAACTTCACTAGCTATAAGGGAAATGCAAATCAAAACCACACTAAGATACTGCCTCACACCTGTTAGAATGGCTATTATCAATAAAACAAGAAATAACAAGTGTTGGAGAGGATCTGGAGAAAAGGGAACCCTCATATACTGCTGGTGGGAATGTAAATTGGTGCAGCCTCTATGGAAAACAGTATGGAGGTTCCTTAAAGGATTAAGAATAGAGCTACCATAAAACCCAGCAATCCCTTTTCTGGGTATGTACCTGAAATTTTTGAAAACACTAACTCATAAGTGTATGCCTATGTTCATTGCAACATTATTCACAACAGCCAAGAAATGGAAACAACGTAAGTGTCCTATGACGGATGATTGAATAAAGAAATGTGGTACATATACACAATGAAATATTACTCAGCTATTAAAAATATGAAATATTGTCATTCGTGACAACATGGTTAGATCTTAAGATCATGCTAAAAGAAATAAGTCAGGGCCGGCTGAGTGGTGTGGTGGTTAAGAGCTGGTTTGGGATGCCAGAGGTCCCCGGTTCAGATCCCACATGAGGGCCAGTGACACTGCCCTCTACAGCTAAGATGCTGAACAGCTCAACCTGGAACTGGGCTGCCATGAGTTGCCTGCGACGGCATAGGCTGCAACCCCTGCTGCAGTGGGTTGCCATGGGCTACCATGTGTAGCCAGCAGCCAGCGTGAGCGGCCAGCAGCCGCAGTGAGCGGCCATCCAGAAGCAGGCGACTGATCTGCCTCACCTGGGAAGAGCGCAGTGATGGTACCAACTTGGGCCAGTGAAACAACATCCTCCACAACTAGACTGAAGAACAAAAGGACAGCAACTTGTCTGTTCCCATCCCCCAATTCCCCAATAAAAATCTTTAAAAAAAAGAGAAATAACTCAGATGGAAAAGGACAAGAACTATATGATTTCACTTCTATATGGGATATAAAACAGAAAGCAACAAATGAACAAACAAACTCATAGAAACAGACAACAGTATGGTGGTTACCAGAGGGGACGAGAGTGGGAGAAGGATGAAGAGGGTAAAGGGGGTCAAATATATGGTGACAGAGGAGACTAGACTTTGAGTGATGAGCACACAATAGAATATACAGATGAAGTATTATAAAATTGAACATCTGAAACTTATATAATGTTATTAACCAATTTTTCCCCAATAAATTTAATTTTAAAAAGAAAGAAAATAAATGCTTACATTCTCAATGATAGAAAAAGTTTCACTATTACAATGTCTAAAGAATACTAACTAAGGAAATAAAAAAAATCAATGAGGACCAATTTAGTCTGGGGTGGTGGGTAGAAAATGCTTCTCCAGAATATGAATATTTGAGCTTTGACAGGAAGTGCAGGTAATTGTCAATGAGGAGAAATTTTAAAAGAGCAAGCATTTGGGGTTGAGAGACAGAATTTCCAGTTGCAGTTTGCTCAGTGAGCGTGGTAACAGAATGAATTTTTAAGAGACCACGAGATAAAGAAAAGATAATTAGGGTGAAGAGGGACAGAGTGTGTGAGCGTCACAATTTGAGCATCTTGTTCTACTCCTTGAAGTACCTCTTATGTGGGTAATTTTATGTTTACTTGCAGACTAAAGGTTGTTAATTTTTTAAATTAAAGTTTATTGGAGTGACAACAGCTAGTAAAGTTACATAGGTTTCAAGTGTACAATTCTGCAATACATCATCTATATATCACATTGTGTGCTCACCAGCCAGTCAGTTCTCCATCCATCACCATATATTTGATCCCCTTTACCCTCATCTATCACCCTCCTCCTTCTTTACCCTTTGGTAACCACTAAACTATTGTCTGTGTCAATGAGTTTTTGTTTCTTTGTCTTGTTCCTTTGTTGCTTTCAGTTTTATATCCCACGTATCAGTGAAATCATGTGGTTCTCAACTTTTTCTGTTTGACTTATTTTGCTTAGCCTTATAATCTCAAAATCTATCCATGTTGTCATAAATGGCACTATTTGCTCACTGTTGTCATTCCAGGGACTTATCTGGTGCCTGGCACACAGTAGGAACTCAACACATACCAATCTTAGATGTATATTAAAGATTGAGACCAAAAGCATGAACTATAACACATAAAGAAATCTTTTAGTTCATCAAATAATTGGCTTACACCTGCTAAATGAGGAAACCAACAACAATTTTTATCCCAATAAAGAATTGTTATTTAAAACTGCAGACAACAGGATATTATACATTAAATATTTGTGTTAAATTAATGAACAGATAAAGAGAGTCTGCTCCAACTTCAATCTCTTGATGTTTTCCTGAACACTTACAGAGATTAGTAAAATAAGGAAAGGGAATTAGCCTGAGTACCAAATGTCAGGAATAATTAAATCATTTGTAAGCAATACTGTGGACACTAAAGTAAAACAACAACAACAATATAGAACTATTAAGTGCTATCGGTGAGTCAAATCTGCTGCAAAAGTAGAGAATATAACAGAAAAATCCAATTACATGAACAAAATAAACAATACCTTGTGCATAGTAGATCTCCAGTTAGTAGTTCATGAATAATTGATTGAACACAGGAAATCAAGAGGAGCCTACAATTGTGGAAAAGAGTAGAAAATAAATGGAGGCTCTCCAGAAAATAACTTATTGAAGAGAGGTTCTAGATTCCAAAGAGAGAGAAGGAAATGGAGCAAAGGCTGGAAAAGACTGGTTTCAAGGGAAACTAAAGTACCTTCAAAGTACAGGGACTTCATCGTCATTGACTAAATAGGTATAACGCTGCCCCAATCTCATTATTGTAGAGATAAAGCCTAGTACCCACTTCCTTTTTTTTTTAATTCCACTAGCCCTCACTGAGACTAGTGACCCTCTCTAGAGGTTATCACTGAAGCTTTCTGTTCTCCAAGGTCTGTCTTGGGGACCCCTTGAGTTTTCACTTGGTGGAGATCAGAGAATTATAGGCAAAGCCAGTTACGTGTTTAAAGTTTCCAGCATCTCAAAGGTTGAATTCTCAGAGCTCATTAAATAAATTGTTCTATTGTCTTTCCACTCTCCAAAAAATTCAGCTTCCTTGGGGTAAACAATGAAAAATTTTCATCAATGTTGTGTCTGTGCAAAAAGTGAAGGGGGGGAACTAAATTCCTTTCCTCCAAGGAAAAACTCTTCTCTCTTTTGTTTGACTTAAAATTACAAAGTATCCCTGAGGTAAGTTTAATTTGTACAGGAACCAACTTTCTGTGATGTTCCTCCCTTGAATATTCATTGGAGATTTCATGTATGTCTTCATGTTCACAATGTCGTGGAGGCAAAGAAGTTCTTTGTGAAGACAAGCACAGCGATTAATAGTTTGGGTTTTGTTGAAGGACAACAAAATGAGAACTGAAAAATATTATTGACATTTGCTGGTGTCATGGATTCTCTGTTGACATTAGTGAGGACTCTATTTATTATTATGTGTAGTTAATGGGCAGGGACAGAAATAATCCAGGTAGAGTGGCTTGAAGAGTAAGT